ATAATTGCTTTTATTGATAGGAAACAAAATATAGAGAAAAATACATATATGAACAAAAATATAAGCTCCTATCAAATAATATACTCGAAAATTTGCAAAAAATCAACGATAAACAACTGTGTGTCGAGACAAAATCGTACGATGGTTTGAGATTTTTTTCCCTTTTTTATTTGTACTCACGGAACATTGAATACCTATTGATAAATTAATATGAATCTAATCAAACTAGTTATAGAAAAACTCAATAAATTTATCAGTGATTTCCAAACTGAAATATGAGTGAGAGAAAGTAAATTGAAAGGGGGAAAATTATACAGAAATAGTATATTCTACAACAAGTGAGAAATATGTCATTTTCAGCTTCACATATTTTTGTAAATTTGGTAGAATTCTCCTGTGATTGTGAAATTTCTAGGAACCTGGGTTTTAGTGTCGGGTAATTTTATTAAAAGGATCGAATTAAGATCTTCCATGTCATCAATTTTCAATTTTCCAAGTTCATCACAACGGCTTTTGAAAATTTTTGAATTTCTTCAGAAGTTAATGTTTTTGACTGTTTTGGAGCATATTTTTCAGATTTACATTTTAAAAATGAACGTAGTTTTACGTATTTTGATATATCAACACAGTTTTTAACAATTAAGGTACTCCTCAGGTCAGCATCAAGTACTGAGACCATAATGTTGACGATTTCAATCTTCTTGACAACTCTTCAAAATAAACTAACAAGGTATTTTCGGAACAAGAATTTACCCTGGCTTTCATTTTCCAGTCCATAAAGTTTCTGTAAGAGATTTCATAATTTTCTCCTGATGTGGTTGGTAGCAAATTATTGCAAACATATATTGCTTTCTGAACAATTTCTGGAGGTGTATTTTTCAACTCCAAATCTTCCTATTCCATTATATTCAATATTTAATAAATCTAAACTGTTTATACTAAAACAGTCAACAAAAAACTATTTTCGTTGGGTAAGTTGACAGCAATAATTACACAGTGCTTCGGATTTGATGTTATGGAAACGCCGACAATGGGTTACTTGGATATTGCACGCGAATCGTCGGCGTAACGTTGTCAACATGGAGAACGTGTCATATCAATCTGACATGTAACCATTCAGGACTGACAGTGGGAAATTATTTCTCACTGTAACGGCGGATATTTCTCACTGCGTGAGAAATCTTTCGTTTTAAACGTATGAAAATGATGAGAGAAGTGGCACATTGTATAACATCCGTAGAAAAACACTTTTTCCTATTCTGGTTGTAGTCCAAAAATTTGTCATCATATTATTTTAGATCGAGAGAGAGAGAGAGAGAGAGAGAATGAAAGAGAGTATCCGGTTAGAAGGAAAAAATTATGGTGAGTAAAAATATATGTGGAATGCATTTCCTGTGACTATAATTTGAATGTTGCCCTTTTGCGTGACTTGGTTAACACAGAGAGCAAAGATTTTAAATTGAACTGAACTGTGCTTATTTGAGAATTTCAGCAACTCGCCTTGAACCATGTAGGTTTTTAAAGCAACACCAATTTTCCCCTCACTTGTTCAGCATTCGAGTCGTTTTTGACGTAATATCATACACGGAGGTGCGCGGTATAGTTACAAAATGGAGCAAGAACAGTAATATTGCAGCATGAATGATTAAAATGGAATACAAACAAAAATACTTTCTGAGAACACTGGCGAGAAAAATAATTATAAATCAATATAACACTTCCAGGTACTTTTCAAATGGTTATTCGACACTTTCAAATCTGTTCTTATTTATAACACAATTCACATTATTTTGAGTGTAATGTCGGAATTTGCGAGATAAATAATTAGTATGACCCTCCTAGACTTTCGTACATTTCAACTGATGAGGTATGTCTGTTGAAACTTTTCAATCTGTCAAGCAGATTGTTAACTTACAGTTGATAAAAGTATCAATTGGTAGATTTGAAACTGTCAATTCACAGTTCTCATTTTTACATCACTGCAATTGCTTACACCACCGTCTTAAAATTTAACATTTAATCAAACATGGAGTAAAATTTTTCTACTCAATTACAACAAGCGCCAAACGTGATGGCGAGCAATCGCTCAGATATTGACTCTACCAACTAAATTACTATTGGATTACTATAATCCCCTTGCCGGCCAGTGTCGTAGCTATAATTAGTTTTAATTAGGGTAGCAAATGGAACATGATCTTTTTGTATTTTTTCTTTCATATTTTTAGTATTATAGGTAGAAGTACAGTTCATTAAAACGTTATATTCCCAAAAAATGTAAAAAATTGCACGTCTTTGAGTTCCTGATACAGTCAAAATCAGTCAATTGGCCTGTTGATTTTCCTAATCAAACCGACGATAATGTTACAGCGTGCAAATGCACTAGGACGGTGTCAAATAAGCACTTATCATATTGTGTATAAATGACTTTTGGATAAGGCTCAGACGTTGCCGATGTTACGATGCTGACGTAAGTACGATGCTGCCGTAACAATACGACGTATTACTGATCATCCCTGTTTACTGGGAATGACAAATCTTGTGGAAAATCTGAAAAAATATCATGAAACCTGCCAAATTTTGATAAGGTTATTCTTTCACCGACATCTTATACTTACATATCTGTAGGTATCTATTGTTTCTTAGGACTACCAAGGACTACAAGGACTTTGAAAATTGTAAAAAAATTAATTTGTTACTATTGTTTTGCCAATTATAGCACACTGAATCACAAAAAGGCATATGAGCTATATCGTGAAAAGGTAAAAATCATGGAATAAAGGAGTTATAAAAATTATATTAGACAGAAAACACTTCCAAAACATGTTTAAAACTTGAATACTTGACCTGAAAATGAAAATTGAACTACATATTCATAGAGTGATTGAAAGAGTTGCTAAGGGCCAAATTTCTCCTATTCGAATCTTGCATTTTGGTGATTTGCTCCAAATGAGAACTTATTTGCGAAGTGTTTCTATCTATCCACTGTAGGGAGTTCATATGAGCATTCAGGATGCGGCTGATTTGGGCAATCTAAAAAAGAAATACAATATAATAAAAATAAAAAACAATTTGTTTTAGTTGAATGAATGAGAAAAAATGTAGAACTATAAATCTACATATTTTTTCCAGTTATTCGCTCAACGATTGATAATGAAAGTTTTAAAATGCAAAACAAAATTGTTACTTACTGGATTAGATGCCGCTTCATTTCTATTAGACTCATTTATGTGTTCGATGATTTCCTTCAAGTCTTCCGACATTTGTTTTAGCTGAGAATCAATCATTTCTGAAAACTGGTACCTATAACAAAAAAATTAATAGCTCATTCGGCACATCATATAAGATGTTGAAAAATTCTATAACTAACAAGAAATACTTTTCTTGACAAACATGTAACTCGAAGCTTAGAAAGTGGAAATATTTGGAATTTTTTACTCAACAGTAATATGTTTAGAAGCTTTCCAAAATTTGGAATCAAGAGATAATAAAGCTAATGGCTAGTGATCAGACATTTTTTTGCTTTTAGAATTATAGAATAGAAATTTCTGCAAATATATAGATGGAAAATTTTTAACAGTATATCTCTCAAGGTTCAAAGACTCTATTTAACATGAGTTCCCTTTCCATTTTTATTTATGGAGTCTGGTAACCATCGATATGTGTGCCTACTTTTCTTTTGTAGAAATAGCTAATTTTATTTCAACTCTTTCCGACTGGAAGACAAATACATTCGAAAAAATATTTATTTTTCATCAGATGAAAAATGTATAAACTCGCGTTAGCAGAGGCGGGCGAAGGAAATATAAACGATTGTTTATGTGAAATAATCTCCAATGAGCAAGATTCAAATCCAATGTGAATTGCTACTTTTGCACAGGCACCGCTCTTACAACGCCTCAAGAATTTCCCTGTGGTACATCCTTGAAATTGATAGCCATTTAACTGTATTCACCACGGCAAATTACTTTTCAAATTACAAGCATATGGAAATTTCATTAGTTCGGACTTCCATGATCTAATATGATTTGAAATCCCTGAGGGAAAAAATAAAACTGAAAATTAAAATGGGTAGCTGAAGATAACAATTATATTAAGCAAGGAAACCCTGAAATGAAATTTTAATAAAATAAAAATTAAGCCAGAAATTGAAAATTCAACATTTGAAATGAACTAAAAATTAAAACATTTCAAGCCAAGTTACTACTTCACAACTTTCGATTGTTAGTATTCACAATCTTCTTCCACAATCGTCTTCTGTTTCATCATGAAACATTGTCAACCACCTTCAAACAAACACTTAAAGGAAATATTCACTTTGCTTGAGTGGCATCAAGATTGAGATATGGGGTGCGTTTTTGGGGCGAAAGGGAGAAGTGTCAGTTCAAGTTGTTTTTAAAATTAACTATGTTTTAAATACTGTATAATTTCCTTACTCAAAAAATACCAATGAAAATATGAGTATTGAAAAATAATTTTCATCAGAGAAATAGCTCATACTATAATAAATTATCATGTTATATGGATATTCATTGTGACCAAACCAGGAAAAACTCGCAAGTGTGTTTGTTAGCGGCAGTTATAGAGACATGAACAGTTGAAATCAGTCCAGTTGTTGGCTGCAGTTATGCGGACGTAAACAGTTAAAATCAGTCCAGTCGTGGAAAGGGTTAATAATTGTTTGAAAAATGATATTTGTCAAATTCAAACAGTGAAGTTAAAATCAGGAGTTCGTGTATGTCATACTCTTGAAGAGAAAGCATATATTGTAAAGTAACATTTCTTAATTGTTTATTACAAGTTTCTATTCAGCTTTCTTAATCTTGCAACTGAATTTTGAAGCACTTAACCTCAAGCGATTGATCTGAAATTTGCATGAAATTTTGCATTCATGTCTAGTTTGGATGAATATGCATGATGAGCTAAGTGATACCTTGGTAAATCCAATATGGCGCACTGCCCAAGATTGCTGAAAAGAATACCAAAAATGAAATGACATCACTCCAAATTCAATATGATGGACTACTAAAAATGGTGGACTATGCTCTTTAATGCAACCCCATGATATAGATATCAAATGAAAGGGCTCAAGCAGAAAACTATTCAAAATGTCGGAAAACTGTGCATTTCTTCAATGCCCCCCCTTTTATTTTTTGAACGGGTCAATTCAAAAAAATTGAATTTGGGATAATGAAATGAATTGATAAATACTTCATTTTGAAGTGAAATTAACAGATGAAACTTTCAATATGGCGGACGGGCGCCATCTGTAAAAAAATAAATGGAAAGGGGGGGCTTCTGACACATCTTTTTGAAGCTCCTGACAAATGCTTCACAACCCTAGAATAAATGTCAATATTTTCAACTACTACAAAATGGCGGAACTTTTATTGATGCCTGAATACATTGACATTTAACTACATAATATGAGGTAATAACCTTGAGGTCAGTTCAGAAGATGCTCGGAATGGTTGGCTTGAACTTCTTGACATATGAACAGGCTATCCGATATTTCACGCCAAACATTTTCGAACACAGCAATATCCCTACAAATATTTATTATTCTCTGCCGTATATCCAATATTGAAGTGGGCGAGCGGGCTGGCCATTTTGTAAGACCTTGACGGCTAATCCAACGACCGGGAAAAATAGTATCCAAATAGTTTCTTACTTGTCTGGAGTAATGTGGTGGTACTCCATCTTGTTGGAATACAATATCCATATCGAATTCATTAGGATTTGCTTCGATGATTTCACTGATCAGAGGGTCAACGGTAGTTTCCAGAATATTCAAATACAGTTCTCTTGTTAAATTTTGATCAATGAATAGAGGTTCTACTATATGGTTTCCCAATATTCCTGCCCAAACGTTAATTAAATTTTAAAAAAATGTACATTCGTCACTGAAACAAATATTGTGGAGATAGGTAGGATGCCTTGCAATATTTTCCGTCATGATTTTGCAGAATTCTGTTTTTCGATCAGGGCCATCTTCAGTTAATTGGTGTACCATTTCAATTTTGTACGGATGATACCTATTTCTCTTCAAAAGTCTCCACACAGTAGAAGCAGACACCTCACAAACATTCGCGACGGAAAAAGTATACTGTTCAGGATTTACTACCATCACCAATTATTGGCACTTTTTGTTCTTCCGGAATGGACAGATGATCTGGGGGCTTTTTGTTATGTACACTACTGGTAGTTGTGATTTTGGATAAAAGTTCCCTCAAATATTTTCTACAGATAGGACGATTCGGGAAATTTTCATTGAAAATCATTTCGGTCTCGTAAAAGTTACGCGTCGCACCGAAAATAAAAATCGCTTAAATTTTTTCTTCCAATGGACGAGAATTGACCATTTTAGAGATTTAGAGATATTTCTAGAAATATCGATATTAATGTGTTTGTATTAATTTGAGAATAGATAGAGATTGTTTACCTTTACATTAACCACATATTGAGTTTATCCAATAATATCAATTATTTCATCCTATTTGAGGATTATGAACAATTATGTTATTTTTCAGGATGAACATTCCAATTTGCAGTTTATTACATTTAAGTAGATAAAGTTATTTATTTTCCACATTATGCTAGATTGGAAACCCAAAAAATTCAAGATTGACTGGAAAAAATGTAACTCTTCAAAACAAGAAGGTTGGCATGACAGAGTAAGTCAAATGATTTATTATTTTCATCCAAAATGTTCTATTAATTTTTTTTTAATTATAACAAAAGTTGGAAGTACCATATTAGTGATTTTGTGAATATCATTTTATCATGAAAGAATCATCTTGTAACATATTCGGCAATTCTGGCCCTGAAACCTGATGAAAATCACAATATATTTTTTGAAAGTGCATATTTATAAGCTCAAAATCCTTGTGATTGAGACAATATTGAAATATGTAATGAGTGAGAGAATATACACTTCTAAAATGAATGTAACACTCAGGATTTACATAACTTAGAAGTATTAGTTTGAATATAAACAAGGGTAAAAACATGATTGAATAGTAAACTTTCACCGACATGCATAAAATTATACTTACATTTGATTTCTATCAATATCAGTAACAGGTATGTCCCATAATTCCTTCTCTAAGGGAGCTATAAGCTCTTCCAATTCTTTTTGCTGAGCAAGTACAAAGTCCAGTTCTTGATCTAGTTGTTGTTGTTGCTGTTTGACACGCTCTACACTGCCATTCAAATTCAATATTTGTTCACCATTTGAAATCAATAAAGAATCCCAAGCATTTAACTGTTTTGCCTGATTTATGAAAAATTTTCCTTGTTCTTCTAAATCTATTGTCCATTTATTTATAGAGTCTTCTAGTTGGCTAAAAGTTAGTAACCCAGTTGCTGGAATTATCGAAGTTGAGGATGTTACCGTGGTTGCAGCTCTGTAAAAATTAAATTTGACATAATGTGGTCCATTTTATACTTATCAGACTAAAGAAATAGACATAGTAGTAGATTATATTCACATTCTTTCATAGAATGCTATCTTGAATATGAAGAATTTTGCTATGATAAAAAATATGGAAAAGAGTTCTGAATATAGTGGAAATGTATCTAGTTGTCTCTCAATTTTATAAAACAGGCACTTTATTCTATTTGACTATATGCTCCTGAAAGATATGAAACTACCAACAATCCTTCACACTTCACTTCTTTCTTTCTTTATATGATAATATGAAACATTACAGTGCTGTTTATTGAAATTCTGAATTCTCAAACGTTTGGTATTCATATAGAAATAAAATAATGATGTGCTGTTAAACATATAAATAATCTTGAACAATACATTTTTCAGTGAGTCAAGAGTACTAATTCAATAAGTAACTGCTGAATGTCTCTGAAAGAAAACAAGATTTTTCTTGCCAAATGAAATACTCATCCTGCAAAGGTCTCATAATGGGAAACCCACATAGTCCCATTCTGGCAGATATTTTCATGGACGATTTGGAGAGAATAATACACAGTAACCCGCTGGTAAGAAGTTTCGTGTATTGGTACAGATATGTGGATGATATCCTGGTATGTTTCACAGGAACAAACAGATGATTGACTAAGTTCTTGAATTTCATCAATCTTCTCCACCCTTCTATCACATTCACCTTGGAGATGGAAAAGGACGACTTTATAAATTTTTTGGACTTGACAATAACAAGAGTCAACAATAAACATAATTTTTCAATTTATTGTAAATCAGCACATACAGATATTATCATTCATAATTCGGGCACCCACCCGTATCAGCACAAAGTAGCCGCATTCAACAATATGATCCACAGACTGATAAATGTTCCCCTGTCAGATGCGAATTTCAATAAAGAACTGCACATAATAAAACAAATAGCAGTCAACAATGATTACGATAGCAGTCTAATACATCCCTCTATTATCAAAAAAGTTATACAGCCAAGCTTTGAAGGAAGTTTACCAAATTCGAAGAGATGAGGATAAACGTTATAGAACCTTAACCTACTCAGGCCAACCCACTACGAATAATTAAAATTTTCTTCACAACAAAGGTGTAAATATTGCTTTCAAAACCAACAACAACTTAGACATGCACATTAGGAATAACAAATATAAAAGTTCAGTTCAGGGGAAATATAAAATATGTGGGTCATGTTTTAGATGTGGTGAGAATAATGCTACCGGATTCCATGGACTTTTGATGCATACAAATATAAACGCGTTCCACTCGCCCATCGGGACAGTCGAGTTTCAATGGCAGTGCGGTACGTGGAGCGATCTAATAAGATGCATACTCCTTATTGACCAAACTGTTATATGGCACGAACTCCTGATGCATTAAGCCATGTTAATCGAAGAAAACAATGAGAAAAACCTTGACATTTGATCGAACTTGGCGTTCTATTTTGGTCATGACTCTGCTGGGCTATTCCATTAGGACGACTGGACTTTGGTTTCGATTTCACAACCATATACCAAAGATTTGTCAACCGTTATGACACTATGAAGCAAACTTGGAACGTCGTTGACGTCATTCAACATTTCCTGAGTGATGCTCATGCAACGGTTTTTTTTTTGACAAAATTCGGCAATTTTGGAACGAACTTTGCTGCCATACACTTTATGCCCAAATTTTCAGAAAAAATTGCATTGCATGAGCCAAACGATATGCCGACAACCTCAGTAACTTGTCCAAAAGGGATTCGACGATTCTCCACAACAATTTTCCTCACTTTCTCAACTGTACAATACTAAAGTAAATTTTTTATTCTACGTCGTAGGGTTCAGCCAGCGTTCGTGCTTATTTTCATCAGTTGTTGATGTGCTGGGGCGTCCAGGGCGAGCGTCGTCATTCACATCTTCTTGACCTGTGAAAATCTTGTACCTCTTGTAAAAAAAATTTTTACTCAGAGCACAAACACCGTGTGCCACTTCTACATTTCAGGTGTTTTTGAGCACTTACTTCAATTTTTCACAGAAAATATGCAAATTCTTTGATCCATTTTTTCGATAGCAGAAAATCGTTGAACACGTCACCTCTCATCAACAAAATAAACATGCTAAACAGCTGAAACTGTGAGCATATGTTCGAGACGAGTATACCAACGTAGCCTGCGAAATTCGAACATTCACCTTATTTTTAGACAGGCCATGTACTACTCGTTATTGAGAATCCTCAATGTAATACATATTTGTCAATTAAGTTCATCAAATCCAAAGTTTACCATACATTTTTAGACCCTGGATATAAAATATATTCAGAAAGAAGAGGTTATCAGTATGTTGAAATATTATCTCTAAACTTGAACAAATTGATCAATGATTGAGCTAATAATCCTCAATTTAACCTAACAAAAATATATTTTCAAATTCCTATTTCTTCAAACAGATTCCACTGAAAATAACTAATGACAATAAAGCCACACGATAAACTTGTCTCACTTCAACTATATTCAACAAGTTTTCCATGTTTCTGTTTTTTATCTTCAGTCATGAAACGAATTTGTTATGAAACTCATAATATCTATGTAGTTAATAGTAAAAATGGTTTTACAGCAAATAAAAAGAAGTATAGAAGCACTTTTGAAAAAATATATTAATCTCGCTTCAACCTTCAAAAATTGATAAAGTTTCTCGCTTCAACCTTCAAAAATTAATACATTTTTTCTAATTTTTCACTGTACAGGTAGATACCTGTATCTATGTATGGTATACCTGTATGGTATAAATAAGGATAGTTTTGTAAGTATGATTAGTTTAATTTTCCTCTTGAAGATGATCACTTGGTGATCGAAATACATGTCGAAGTCTTGAAAATAACGGTTTGGTGTTGGGAAAAAACTCCAGTAATATTCATTACTACACCAAAGGTTCCAAACAGTGCATCACAAGTTGATCTTACCTAATAATACTTTTCCAGACATACCACGTTTGTTCAGAAAATAAGAGGAATTTTTAAATTTCACGGGTTTGGAGAGACCGATTGTCGTTTTCTTCTTATGTTGGCATACACGCCCCTGAAGCATAATACAATTTTCAGCTATGTTCATTGTTTACTTCGTCTGTGGTAGCAGTTAAACGTGTTTTTAGGAGCTCGGCGATTTTCATTTGTTAAACCAAATGCATCAAAGAATTTGTATGAGATATTTAATAAAAAATGATGGCAGCAAAGTGTGTGAAATGTTAACAACAAAGGCTTATGATCAGTATGTTGAGTAAACCAAGAGTTTACGAGTATTAAAGACTCCAAGATAACCTTGAAGGTGACGAACGCCCGGACGCTCAAATACACTGAATCGCAATCAGAGAAGTCCCTGGCGTCCGGATTTGTAAAAAAAATGTTCACGTCTTTTGCACCATAATAGTACACCATCTCACACTTCATTGCTTATTTGTGAATTATTGACCAAAAATAAAACTGTTACGATGCCCTAGTCTCCACATTCATCAGACACGACTTCGTGTTACTTTTTCCTATTTGCAAAAATAAAGGAAACCTTGAAAGGCTTTCGGTTTATAAGCATACATGACAAAGTGCATCTCTGAAAGAGCTAAAGGCTATCCTGAAAAGAAGTGTTTTGAAGATCGAGATTGAGAAGTGGTTTGAGGATTGGAAGAAATGCTGGCACAATTGCATTACATTTAATGGGGACTATTTTGAAGGCAACAACATTGATGCAGAAGTTTTTTTTAACGAAAATTCCCGTTATTTTCTGAACATACCTCGCGTAAGTAATAATAATAAACGAAATCTCGACTTTCAGAAAGGACAAAAACCAAGATAAATATATCTCAGTTCCATGCCACCAATACACGAAGAACTTTGAAAGGCATCTAGATGCCTATGAGAGTGTAGAAATGAGTAAATATAATAATATTATGAATAACGACTGTGGAACAATACCTAATAGTATCTGTTTTTTTGTTAATCAGCTGTCGCCCCCATACGAACGACAACTCTCAGAAGTTGAAAAACTTGTGCAAGCTAAGGACTAACGAGGTCTTACCTTTAACCGTGTGATTCCTAACATGGTATACAGATTTTAAACAGATATATCTTGTTAAACAAATATTTTATTTATTACATTTACCTAACTATTACACAAGGTCACATTGTAAAATTAATTTAAGACTAGTAGATATGGCAATTTGTGAAATTAATTTTATAGAGCTTATAATATTTCAATTATTGAATTTACCTGACTATTACATAAGGACACATTGTAAAATTATTCAAGACGAGTAGATATGGCAAATTGTACAATTAATTTAAGACACTCAAGATGCAGATACTTGAAACAGGTATCAACAGTATAAATACGGATAGCTTTGTGAGTATGATTAGTTTGATCTTTCTCTTGAAGATGATCACTTGGTGATCGAAACACTTGTCGAGGTGTTAAACCTTGACGCAGGTACCTAGAACAGGTAGATGCCTGTATTAATGTATGGTATACCTGTATGGTATAAATAAGGATAGCTTTGTAAGTATGATTAGTTTAATCTTCATCTTGAAGATGATCACTTGGTGATTGAAACATGTGTAGAGGTCTTAAAAATATCGGTTTGGTGTTGGAAAAAACTCCAGTACTACACCAAAGGTTCCAAACAGTGTATCACCAGTACTCATATGAGTAGAGGAATCTAAATCTAAATTGTTGTCTCAATACAGTTGAAAGTGATACTTACGGAACAATGGTTGAAGATGTTCCTGATGTTGTCACAACAGCTGTAGTAGTAGATGATCCTGATGATAGTCCGAAACTCAATTTGGTTGCAGAAGTAGTTGTAATACCAGCAGCCGTACTGGTGACAGAAGGGACGCCCAAAGAAAGTCCTATTTTAGCAACAATACTCTCAAAAAAGATTTTCAAAAATGCTAACATGCAGTTTTAGAAAACTTCTGAATTACATAGTATATAACATTGATCAAGGCTAAAACTCAACTTATCAGTTAATTATAACTCTAAAAGTTTTCCAGGGGAGCATTTGCAGGCAGCATGTAATTGTGGATGCCAAAATGATGTGGATGTGTTTCAAACTTTTGAAAAAAAACATTTATTTTTCTGAATATAAATATATAAGCATCCAAAATGAAATTTGACAGCTTCAAAAAAAAGAGTGCCATGGCATAACAAATCATGCACTAACAATGGATGTTGAACTACACTTTACACACATTTGTGCAAAATTCCTCACATAATTCATCATCAAATGTAACTACAGTAAATTCTGACTCCTTACTTGATGAAAATTGATATTATCCATAAATATTACTGTCGAGATGTTGAAACAACGGTTTAGTGTTGGGAAAAAAACTCCAGTAATATTCATTACTACACCAAAGGTTCCAAACAGTGCATTACAAGAACATAATCCATTATGATAATTATAAAATTTTCACAATATTTGTCGTGAAAATGTCAACTATAGTTTTCAGGTGGACACCTTTCTACTTCTACATCAGCCCCTTGTCAACCACTTTCTTTCCATAAGAACTCACATGTCAATTACTCCAGTATCGAAAATTTTGACAATTCACCTGCACATTCAGAAGAGGGATTGTCATGCTCACTTGATGATAGCCAGTTGGTTAGCTAGTTCCGCTCATGAAATAACTGCTATACTGAGCGAAGACTCGATTTCTATCCATTTCAAACTCTTTGATTTGAGTCTCAGATGTGAGGCACACTAAGCGAGTGTGTCATGTGAGTTGCTCAGATGCCAATCCTTGTGTTCAGTGCAGCTGATTGGCAGAATTTTTCTCAACTTATGTGAACTTATGGTTACAATTGTGAAAAAGAAAACATCTTGAAAAATTTTGAGATTTGTGATCTAGCCAAGATCTTATGAAATCTATAGCAAATCAAAACTGGGCAGTGGGTTCTATTCCCATTATTACTTTGGCATTTGAAGTGTTTCTATGTTTTTGACTCAAATACTATTCAACATTTATTTTATTGGAATGTGAGAATAAGAAAGTTGAATTTGAATGTTTGATCAGTAATTTGAAGTAATATAATTTATTTTCATTGTCATATGATCATTATCTCCAGTTCTTCTGACAACATTGTATGAATAATATTTACATATATTTGTTCACCTATCTATATTGTATCATTAAACTTAATCTTTCATTTTCACTTTTATTGCATAATCTCTAGATTTAGATAACAAATTATTTTCTGATCTTTCCTCGTGTCAACTTTCTGGGAGTTTTACACCCTGGCAACATTTTGTTTGAAATAAAAATTAAAACAGTCTAAAAAACTGTATGAAAAAAAGATAATAAAGACACTAAGGAAATGCATGCATTCATTTCTATTGAAGTTTAGTTCAGATAGGTTCTCTGATTTATTTGTAATGATGTTTTGTTATTTGAATTTTACAAGCAAAGCAAAGCTGATTCACTTATGCTGGTAAATTACAGAAAAAATAATAACCTACTTCATTATTATACTTTTCAAAGTGAAAACCATTGATAGTAGTAGTGTTCATGTGATAATTTGTTTGATAAGAATAAATAAGTGAATTAAATTGCGAAAAATAAGTTCTCAATAAATTCTGTCAAAACGTGTATGTAAAAGTTAAAAATATGGTTCAATAACTGATTCGATCAAGCTTTTGTAGAAGCTTCAGAACATTCATAAATAAATCAGAATATCAAAACCTTTGCACAGAAATGATTGAAAAGTATTCTTCATCAAAAAAATAATGAAGAGTGGTTAGAAATCCACAAAGAAGCAAATTAAGTTCACTTTGTAAAGTTTCTACATCTCAAGGATACATGACACTCTTATAGAACTATTCCAGTATTTTGTAAATTTAGCGCCTCAACAAGATTTACCCTTTTTTTTTGAACTTGCATTAAATTATCTTCAAAAATTAAAACTCAAAAACAATTTTAAAAATAAGCTTTTATTTATATGCTCCAAATTGAATTAAAATCATCAATTCATTGAATTACACAATTTATAAGATACAAAAGCTTGTCTCAAGATTCACCTAACTTATAAAAGAAACATTCTTCTTCTCAAAACTACAAACTATTGTCTAATGAAGCACATGTTGTGTTTTTATGAACCTGTTAAAGCTTTTTTTTATATTTACAGTTATACATTTTTGGAACTTTTTTATATCTACATTTACACTTTCTTAGTACTTTTTCTATACCTATTAATATTGTATTTCTTGGACTTTGTCAATAAGATGCAAATCTTTGGACAATATAGTATATTTTGATTTGATTTGATAGACGTCTTCAAAAAGGCTTTCTTTACGAATTGACCTGATATGCTAATTATATGAAGATGCTTACCTGTAGTAGTGGTAGGTTTGGTAACTGGAGTTGATCCAGAAATAGGGACAAAGGCAGTGGTTGTAGTTGCTGATTTAGTATTTCCGAAACTAAAACCACCTGTAGGAAAAGCAGCAGTGGTACCTAAAAATTTCAACATATATTAATTACCAATAAATTGGAATTCTGCATATTTCAGTAGATATGATAAATCATTAAAGAAAAAATTAGGTAAAAGGTATAACAGCTGAATTGGAGGGGTTATATTTTTAGCTGTGAATAATTTTTGGGAAAGAAAGTTTTTGGCTTTCTACTACTCCATTTTGATACAAAAAAAAGGATGAGGGAATTTGTATCAAGATGGAGTAGCAGAAAGCCAAAAACTTTCTTTCCCAAAGTATAACAGCTCATAAAAATAGAGGTATAGTTATGCTTAATACTTGTGAATACTTCCCAGATGGTGGATGTTAGAACACCAGTTTTGTTATTCAACATTATATTCTCATGTAAATGTTGTCTATATCATTGGATTTATTACTTCTTCTAAATGCTATATTATAGTTTTACATATATATTATTGTTTATTTTCCTGATTGCTATATATAGTTTTAAATATAATTTTTTGTTCATTTTGTACTCTGAATCTCACCTTGTCCTCCTAAAGTCCCAGTAGGTTTGACTTGCGTTAAAGAAGTGAAGGCAGAGCTAGTAGGCTTCTGATTTTTTGTATCTCCTGAAGCAGCGGAAAACTGAAATCCTGTCGCTGAAGTTGCTGTAAAAATATGAACTCAGTAATAGTCTCGAATAACCCTGTGAAAAATTATTGATAACTTACTAGTAGGATTAGTTGGCAATGCGAAAACCGTAGCACCTGGTTTGGAGACGGGTGTGTTTCCAAAATTGAAAGACATCACTGCTATGAAACACACAAATCAAATCAATTAATACAATTTTATTTCCTATAAATGATGTTTACTATACGATAACCACACTTTTTAGTTGGTTGCAGATGGCAGTGGAATAGCGGATGGAAGTTTTTGCGGGTGTTGCCATGTTGCCAACAGTCTACTTTTCCAACTATACTATATAAGAGATTCGTGATCTGGCTTTCATTGAGTGAACTGGTCGAAAAAGTGTCAGCGTCACAAATTGGAAGAGAGATTGGCTCTGCAAGCAGCGAAGATCAAACAGGTGTGCTAGTACCTTTTCTTTTATTCATCTCATATTCACACATTCTTATATATCAATCCAAACGTAATTTGATTTAACGTTTTTTATAACATGAGTTCGGAGTCGGGGGAGAGGAAACTCTCCCTCGTGTCAAAAAAAATGATGATGGAAGAGACAAACATATCCAATTTTAATAATGAAGGAGATAGCGAAGACTTTGAGGTAGAAAGTATTTTTAACTCTCAGTTCCTTGCTGATAACGTTAACATGTTTAATATTCAAGAAAATAGAAATTTGCATTCTTTGACTGAAAAAACTTTAAATACAAATTTAACAAAAACTCAAGAACATGAAAAAGATATTCTTTTTTATAAAGAAGGTTCCTTGGGACCTTTCACAGTTATAATTGAAGCAACGGAAGAGTCAGGAAATTATATTGGAAGACTTAATCAGTTAAAGATAGCAAAAGAGGTTTTTGATTTAAATTTATCTCATATTAGCAAAATTACCAATAGAGGCAGAAATAGAATTGGAGTGGAATTCAATAGGAGAATTGAGGCAAATAATTTTATCAACAATAATGATCTTACAAAGAAAGGGTACAAAGTATATATACCATTTAATAAAATAACTTGTAAAGGTATTGTAAGGGGAATACACAATCACTTTACGGAAGATGAAATCAAACATCTGATTAAAAGTCAATTCAAAGTACTACAGGTTAAAAGAAT